CCCCTTTTCATCTAATTAACTGTAGCGCGACTCTTATTGCGAATGACCACAGTACCAATTCTTCTGGACTGAAACAATTGCCCCTCGGGATGATTAAAGTTTTTTTCAATTTGAATTTGAATTTGAATTTGATTCACACTGTTGGAAAGTAAACTCTTATTACTTACAAGTCCAGTAGCAACAAAGCCAGGTCATCATCAGTCTGTGATTTTATAGCTTCCTTTAGCTGCCTCAAACCAGTGTAGGCCACACCGATGTTCACTCTGGTTTTAGCTCTTTGCTTCACCTCCCAAAACATTACTCTCTCACTTTTACTTCCAGGCTCCGCCAATTCCAACAGAAAAATCAAAGTTCTTCTTTGTCTCCATCTTGTGCTTTTTATAGATGATCAGCAAACTCAAAATGCTAATTGCTATCATAAGAGCTAACAGCTAACAGCTGTAAAGCAGGTAAAGAGCGCCCTCTATATGGCGTGAAACTGTTGCAGTTGTTAGTCAGCAGGGGGCTTCAGAACGGGGTTCAGGATGAAGACGGTAAAGTTTCTACTTAGTCGCTTGAACCCACATTTGAAAGAAGAGCATAAAGTGTTCAGTAAACTGTTTAGTTACATTAAAACAAGGCTAGCATGAATCGGATCCTCTTTAGAACCCAAACAGCTGGTTCCCCTCCTCTAATGAAGTTGTGAGTGGTGTTAGCAGGTGCTACTTTAGCATGCTTTTGTTTACCTAACTTCTCTTCTTCTCTCTGAGGGATTGGTGTGGGAGTCCGCCTAGCAACTGAATTATAGCCTGCCACACTGTGTTCTTCATCCCTGATATTTAGCCTGTCAAGACACAGCGGTGTGTGTGTGTGTGTGTGTGTGTGTGTGTGTGTGTGTGTGTGTGTGTGTGTGTGTGTGTGTGTGTGTGTGTGTGTGTGTGTGTGTGTGTGTGTGTGTGTGTGTGTGTGTGTGTGTGTGTGTGTGTGTGTGTGTGTGTGTGTGTGTGAGAGAGAGAGAGAGAGAGAGGGAGGTAGGGAGGGAGGGAGGGAGTTTGTTTGAGGTGTAAAGGTCACAAAGTTTGACATTTACCAAGCTAAGCAGAACACACACATGAAGTCTCCAGAGAATTTTTAAGTGTTAGCTCTTCTGTTAATGTATGTGCTATTGTTCTACGTGTGTGTGTGTGTGTGTGTGTGTGTGTGTGTGTGTGTGTGTGTGTGTGTGTGTGTGTGTGTGTGTGTGTGTGTGTGTGTGTGTGTGTGTGTGTGTGTGTGTGTGTGTGTGTTGGCTTAGGTCAGGGAGGAGTGCCGTTACTTGATTGCCCCTCCGGTGCCCCCTCGCTCCTCTAAAGGAGGCTCCATCTCCAGCCCGACGCCCAGCCCTCCTGTTCCACCACGCTTCCCCAAAACAACGTCCCCGAGACCGAACCTTTCCTTCTACTCCTCCGGACTGCAGGACAGGTACAAGAAAACTTGTTTTTGCTCAAACGGTGTAAAAAAGAAAAGCTGATGTGCACAGATGTACAGACAGAGAATGATTCTGGATAAAATGCAACACTTTAAAGGAAAAAGCATGATATAATCAGCATTTTACTTCATTAGGACTGAATTACATACACATAGAGACGCCTGATGAGCTCCTGTGGTTAGAGTAAAAATATTAACCTTTTAAACTAAACGAGTCACAGTGGACTGGTGTGGTCTCATCTGTAGAAAATAAATCCTGATGTCACTTTGTCCTTTTTTGTCCCAGCTGCTCGCCCTCTCCGGACGCCACCCTCTATTGTTACCCCTGTTCCTGGGCAGACTGTCCTGCTCCTAATCCAGCCAGTCCCGAGCCAGCCTCGGCCTTCCCGGCAGACACTTTCAACTCTCAGCCGGCACAGGCCGCCTGGGCGGAGCCATGGGTAGATTCCTTTAAGTCTTCTACACCTCGACTCAGACCGCCGCCCCCACAGAGTCGATTTGCCCCCTTTGGTGCATTAAACCCCTTTAACCGCCAGTCGCCCTGCCCCTCACCCGAGCCTGCTTCCAGTCCCACCACAGATTCTTCCCGAGGTGCAGAAGGCGGCAGCACACCAGCAGGTGTGGCTGAAGGCTCGTCCCCGTCGCCCGACCTCACCTGGAGGCCTCCTGCTGACCTGTCCGTGCTCTCGTTGGAGGAAGTGTCTTCATGCTTGCGGTTCATCGGCCTCCCAGAGGCAGCGGTGGCGGTCTTCCAGAGGGAGCGGATCGACGGTAGCCTGCTGGTGCAACTGACTGAAGACATTCTGTCACATGACTTCCATCTGAGCCGACTCCATGTGACCAAAATCACACAGTTCATCCAGGGCTGGAGGCCCAAGATCTAACCCCACTGGCTGCTCTGCCTCCATGAATGTGCCTTCCACTGTGACCTACCGGCTGCTGAGTCCCTCCAGCTGAAGCCTGAGGAAACCACGCCACCCTGTGGTCAAACTGTAGAACTGGCGTCTTGGTGGCTGCTTGAATCACAGACGGGAACTAGTTTACTAACACTGAGAGCTACAGAGAAAATGTCCTGATTCCAGGTTTTCTTGGGATGGAGCTACAGAGAGGATGCAGTCCTGATGCTGAAATGATGGGGAAACTTTTTACATTTAACACACAAGAGTACTTTGATGAATGAACATAATTTCTGAGCCTGTCCTGGTTTCTCATCTTGCTGTGGTGGCACCAATAACAACCTGAGGTTAAAGGAGCTTATTATAGGATACACAGGAAGTGGGACTAGCAGAATTCAATAAATTAAAAACCAACATGGACCCATCTCTGACATCTGGGGGATTTGGTCCATTGGGGCATTTTTAGTTTGTATTTTATTAGCACAACATCATGTCAGATAAAACAGCTTCCAGCAGCTCAGATTTTAAAAAAATCTCATAAAATACCTCAATGCTGAATTTAGCTCTGTAACAAAATCAGCGGCATTTATTTTTTATTATTTCACGTCAATTTAAAATATAAATGTTTCATTCCCCAAAAACGGCTTTAAAAGTTAGAAGCATCAAAGTCAATTTCTCTGATGTTAATGAAAAGATCATGAATCTCATTTGGTTTAGTTAATTGATAATTTAGGGATCTCAACCACGACAAACAAAGACTATTTACCGAGAAACAAAATAACTGATGTTGTCTGAACTGTGAAAATGTCATTAGTGCTGTTGTCAGCGTTTTTGTTCTTCCTCATAGCTGTTACGTTACCATCGAGCTGCCGTTTAAAAAGTCGTCATATTTCCTGCATCTGTTCCGCAGCAGCCAAATCAGAAAGCTGCATTGTGAGTTAAAATTTGTTTTAGGGTCAGCTGTCTCGTGTGACGTTCCAGACCCGCCCTGCGACGGCGGGATGCTGATGTGATCTTGTAACTGCAAGGCTGCGGTCTGATGAGCAGCGCAGAAATAAAGGAGATTATAAACAACAGAAACAAGATTTGCTCGTGTTTGTGGGATTGCCGTGGTCAATGATTCATGTGAAGATTCAGCAGCACCAGGATTGTCCCTAACGTTGATCCAGCTGTGGGATCGGGAAGAGTTCACCTGCAGGTGCAGTGAGGAGACTTTTAGAGGATGTGGTGGAAGCGTCGAATCTGCAGGAATTAGCTTTCGTCTGTCAGAAGTTAGACCAGGTGGCGGTTGACATCATGGAGAATTACAGAAAACTTTTTAAAAAAGCTCCAAGACAGCAAAAATGTACTCTTTCAATAAACTTAATGGAACTTCAAAGGGTTCAAATGAAGGCAACTGGACTTCTTTGGTTTCTTGAAGACATTCGCTTCTCATCCAAGGAGCTTTGTCAGTTCTGACTGGAATATGGGAGAGGCAAGCTTATTAGCTGTAGCTGTCGGTTGACTCTCCCATATTCCAATCACAACTAACAAACCCTTTGGATTGCCATGACCTGGATGACTGAGAACCTTCACCAGCTTAATGGAGTTTCAGTAAAAGCTTTCAAACAACTGTAACCATAGCAACACCTGACCAGAGCATCTTAACACCTGAACATTGTGGAAACCGTCCCCCGTGTCCTTCATCTCGTGTTTTCTTTAATTCCAGCAAAGCCCACCGCCGCTTAATGACATTTAACTGTTTCTCTGCAGGCGACCCAGAGGAACCTCAAAGGACCGAGCCCAGGAAGTGAAGCAAACAAACAAAGCTCACCGTGAGAGCGTAGTTCCCCTCCACTCTCACCCTGAAGACTGCAGCTTGAGTGCAGCTATAAAGAAATGTCACAGATCCAGTAGAGCACACCCAGAGGGCGACCCATCACCTCGCCGTCATTAGGCTCCGACCTGACATTAGAAAATGTTAGCAGCCCAAATGACTTTCTTGACCTTAATAAACACAAGTGTGACCAAATAGCCACCAGCGCAATACTGTAGAGCTTTTAAACCTTCACTTGAGTCACTGATTAGCATGGAAGTGTGTATGAATACCATTTAACATCATCTCTATGTGCCACCTGCTCCAGGCAGCGGTGCCATCAAGACATCCAAATTCCCAGGGTGCATTATTCATTTATTTGCTTTCTTTTGTTTGGAAGCTTGACATCAGCAGGTGGTTGCTAAATTAGGACCTGAGGCCAAATTTGGAGCCATCCATCCATTTTCGGTCACTTATCCGGAGTCGGTTCGTAGGGGCAGCAGCCTGAGCAGGAAGGCCCAAACTTCCCTCTCCCCAGCCACTTCGGCCAGCTTCTCCGGGGGAATCTCAAGACGTTCTCCGACCAGGTGAGAAACATAGTTCTTCCAGAGTGTCCTGGGTCTTCCTTTAGGTCTCCCCCTGGTTGTACATGCCCAGAAAACCTCACCAAGGAGGCATCCTGACCAGATGCCCAAGCCACCTCAACTGGCTCCTCTCGATGTGGAGGAGCAGCAGGCCTACTCCGAGCCCCTCCCAGATGACCGAGCTTCTCACTCTGTCTCTAAGGGGCCCAGCCACCCAGCAGAGAAAACTAATTTTGGTCGCTTGTATCTGTGATCTCGTTCTTTCGGTCACTACCCAAAGCTCGTAACCATAGGTGAGGATAGGAACGTAGATCAACTGGTAAATCGAAAGCTTTGAACACATCCTGATTATATAATTTGATTGTAAAACTTAAATAACTTTTATGAAATGTACCTAATTTAACCAACAGCATGTCCTGTTGTGACAAACTTTCCCCCGAGGGACAATGAATGGTGTTTTTATTCTATTTTACTCTAAACAGATATTTTCTGAATTACTTTGCTGTTTTCCTCCCGCGTTTGTCCTCCTTCTCACCACACATAAAACTACTGGGAGACTTTTATATATGAATAATATAAACGTTCTTGTTCCAATGGTCATCTCCTAGATTTGATCTGCTGCTCTCGTTAGCCCCGACGGCTTTACTGCGGATCAACTTCCCACAACTGACTATTTTCCTCTCATTCATTGCTAAAATACCATTTAGGTTCACAACAAGGCAAAAGCAGTCTTTGTAGACAAAACAGTCAATAAATGTGATCATGTTTTTGTTGCTGGGGTCAAGACTGCTGAGATGGTTACATCCATTCATCTATTTGATACCTTTCATGCAGTGTCCTCTTCTAAATATTTTAACACTTCTATGCCGTTTACTTTTTTTGTACACCTGACAACTTCTCCACATGACTCAGATCCAGTTACTTCTTCAATTATGTAAAAATTTGATTAATCAATTATTTCAACCCCATTCTTCAATAATAAAGTTTATGTTTGTTTTTCTGACTTGAATCTATCAGGTCAGAATCAGTATTATTTTACTTCTTTAACACTATATATATATATATATATATATATATATATATATATATATATATATATATAAATTTAACCTATTTCAATAACCAGTGTCGATACAGGATCGGGCCATGGTCCTTCGACTGCCGATGACGATCCTGCCGATGATTACTGCAAATCTACTCGGCTTTCACAAATACGTTTTGGAAATACATCAGCAGTTTTGTTAATAAATTCTTGTTTGTTAACACCTAAATGTTTTCTTTATAATTGTAATTTGTTAAAAAAATCACAATATTATCTTTGTTTTGAAGAGAATGTGAAACTGCATAAAACCAACATCGGACTGACAAAAAATAGTACAGTTCTTATATGTGAAGCCACATCTATTTGTATTAATGTGGAGTTCGTCTCTATATTTCCTTAGTTGTTATCTAAATACATTCTTTGACTCAAAATATTGCTTGGTGTCTTTCAATAAAGTTCTTATATTTTATTTTGCCCCAAGAGCTTTTGAGGGTCACCGTTTACCATTTGCTTATATTTTACATTTCCTTTGGAAATTCAAACATATTTTCTCCAAAAAGTGTTGATTTTTGGACTACAGGACTACAACCGCTAAGACTACGACTGCAAATTTGTTCTGACCAATCAAAATCATAACGCGATAACGTAACTTCCATAAGCTTCATGTTCAGCCAATCAACTAATTTGACGTCATCGACAGTCGAAGGACCCCGAGCCGATCTTGCACCCGAGCAGATCCGTACCGATACCGGCCATAAGGACGTTAAAAATATTGCCTGTTAAAAACTTTCTATATTTGAAGTAGGTTAAAGTAAAGTTACAATTACATTATCATAGTTTTAACAACAGTTAAAATACAAAAATTTTATATTGTGTACACACATGTTATGAGTTTGTAAGTGTGCGTATTTTTATTATTTTCTTCAGGGATAATTTTGGTCAGCTGCACAATCGTCTGGGTCTTTTTACAGAGATTTTGTAGTTCAGCGTGAGTCTGGCGTATCGCTGAGCAGGGAAGCAGTGGTGGTAAAGGCATAACATCTGTAAAGGTAAGACAAAATTATGCCACGCTCTTGACTTTAAATCAAAAGGGAGATACTATTATTTATGAACTTAGAAAGGTAGCTTTTTTATATTCGAGTAATGTTGCTGTAGCCAACCGCTAGCTAGGTTAGCTAGCTTGCGTTCATCGTTTCAGCGTCTTTGTTTTGCGTTACAAACCCGCTTTTTAACGTGGTATAAAAGTGCATTAATCTTATATCTAAGGAAATAAACAGCTAGTCGATTTGTACACGTCTATGATGTAGTGTGAGCCTGAGATCAAGCACTTATGTGTCTGTCATTCTGGTGGAGAGGAATGTAGGTGAAAGGTCACAGTCGCTGTTAGGGTGTAGGGCAGTGTGACCCGTCGTCAGGTAGAAGCCCAGAAGGGCTAATAAAATGAAACCCTTAGAGATCACATTAGTTAAAACGATAAAAACATGTTAAAAATATAGATCCATTAGTCTTAGACAATAATTATGCTAGTATTTTTCTAAATGACCAAAGGTGAATATTTTTCATTCTTAAATTACATTGCCCACTCTTTATTTATGTAAAGCCAAACTGTAATATAATAGTTAACTGTCCCACTGGACTCAGAGGTTGAAATCATAATCAAAGTTGAACTTTAGTTGTGAAAGAAGCATCTTAGTATTACATGAAAATGTGGTGTTGCTGTTAATGCAGCAGCGAAAAGAGAAATGATAAATGACCCGCACTTGTATAGCGCCTCTGAGAGTAAGGACTCCAAGGCGCTTCACACTACAGTGTATCATTCATCCATTCACACACTCACACACACACTGATGGTGATGAGCTACGATGTAGCCACAGCTGCCCTGGGGAGCCGGGATCGAGCCTGCAACCTTCCGATTACTGGACAACCCGCTCAACCTGTTGAGCTACTGCTGCCCCCCCCCCCCCAAAATGCAAGATGCTGTTAACATGACCCCAAAGGATTATTCAGACTACGCCATAAATAATAATCGTGATTTCTTCGAAGGAAGCCAAGATTTCTGGAGGTTTCTTGAGTATTAAAAATAAAAAAAAAAACTAGATACACTAACATTTTTAATAAACTTTCTGTGTTGTTGGTGTATTTTTTCTTAAATCATTGTTTGTTTCGATCTAGAACATAATGGCCTCCATGCTGTTGAACACAATGCGGACCTGCACTGTTGCCCCTTCTTGGGCAGCTCGCATTGGTAAGATGTCTTGGTCCTTTTTACGGTTTATCTGCAGATAATTACTCCACAGAAAAAGGGTTGCTTCCATGAATACTACACAACGTTTAATTTTCATTTGTCCTAAATGATGAAGATTAAACTGTACTGGTGCAACAGCGGCTGTTGTTTCTAATCGATCATGACAATGATTTGCTGTTTCACACAGGTGCACGCTCTCTCAGTACAACAGCACAGCTTCAAGCTCAGGGTAAGGTAACATTATTACATGAACCGAAGTTTGAATTCACGCATTAGTCTGCTTAAAATGTGGAGCCAACAGTTCAAACCTTCCATAAGTGTGAAAAAAAGACTTATTTCTCTCATTTTTTAATCCCCACACAAAACTAAGTGCTTAACTTCATACGGTCACATTATAAAGACTTGTTTGTGTTTTTCTTTTCTCAGTTCAAACAAAAAGCAAGAAGACACTGGCTCGTCCGGGTGTGAGGAACATCGTTCTAGTGGAAGGAGTTCGAACCCCTTTCTTGTTGTCAGGAACCACGTACGTGTCTGCGGAAGTCTGTGCTTTCACATAGAGACAGTTTAGTGTGATTAAGAATGTAAAATAAATACTTTTCATTTAAAATTTAATTAGATAAAAAGGGAAAAAAGCCAGATGAATCTTTGGGATCCTGTTCTTGCTGCTTGATGGGACATTTTGACTATTCGTTTACAGATATGCTGATTTAATGCCTCATGACCTTGCCAGGGCAGCTCTTAAGTAAGTGTGTGGCTCTAGTGTCTTTTTAATTAATTTCTCATAAAGTCTGCCATAAAACTGTGGATGCTAAAGTTCATTTCTAATTCCATTAGCCTCATCGGTTTCCTACCTTTTCCAACTGTTTTTTTAGGGGTCTGCTAAACCGAACAGGAATCCCCAGAGATGCTGTGGACTACATTGTGTACGGAACAGTTATTCAGGAAGTCAAAACCAGCAACGTGGCACGAGAGGTACATGATCAACACGTGCTGGATGAACACGCTGATAAGCAGGCATTAGCCGTGGGTCCCCGTGTGTCAACGACGTCTGTTTTTCTGTATTTATGTAACTCCAGGCAGCTCTCGGGGCGGGGTTCTCTGACAAGATTCCAGCTCACACCGTCACCATGGCCTGCATCTCCTCCAACCAGGCCATGACCTCAGGTATGTTGACACATCTCCACGTTGTTTTTTTTTTCTTTTCTTTAGTTTTATTGGTGTTAGCATTAAATCAAACTAACATTTCTACAGTTTACCCTGTTCCTCCCTCAGTTTGACCTTTATCTCCTGTTCTTCAGCTGTTGGACTGATCGCTGCAGGCCAGTGTGACGCCGTTGTTGCAGGCGGAGTGGAGTTCATGTCCGACGTTCCGATCCGCCATAGCCGAAAGATGAGAAAGACGATGTTGGCCCTCAACAAGGCAAAAACCGTCGGACAGAGACTCAGCCTGGTTGGCAGCATCCGGCTTGCCCACCTCTCCCCCGAAGTTAGCATTTACGTTTAATTCTTTTGATCAGATTGTGGAGTTTCTTCCTGAGTGTCGATTGTGTGTTTCGGCAGCTTCCCGCCGTGGCGGAGTTCTCCACAGCGGAGACGATGGGTCACAGTGCAGATCGCTTGGCTGCTGCGTTTGGCGTCTCCAGAGTGGAACAAGACGAGTTTGCGCTACGATCACACACACTCGCCAAAAAGGCCCAGAGCGACGGGCTGCTGGAGGATGTGGTGTCCTTTAAAGTGCCAGGTAAGCTCTGCTTCTCACCTCAACAGTAGGGCTGTGCCATCTTACGTAGATTCTTGCTGTCTTTTTTTTCTCTTGTCATAGCTTTTTGTTTTTTTCCACTTAATTCAGCACACGTTAATTCAAGCTACCAAATACCTTTTACTCCACTACATTATTCATGTAAGATCGAACAAATTCCCTACGTAGGCTTGAAACCTACAGGATAAACCTGGATAATGAAAGTTAACAGGTCAGTTTAGTTTTTGAACTGGGATCAGCTGAGAGTCGGCAGAGATGTGGCGCTTCTGGTCTTTAAAACACCCGACCGTTCACGTGGGACTGTGAGGACCTTTAGGAGCGTTGCTTCAGTCGGCATAACACTTTAGTTTAGGGAACACCAATTAACCATTAATTAGCTGCTAATTAATATGTATATTAGTGGACATCTAAGTCTGAGCTAGTCATTATTAAGCACTTATAAACAGCTTATTACTAATGCCGTCATTCTAACATTAACAGGCCATAAACTAAGAGTTTTATCTAAATAAGCCATTCATAATGGTTTGTTACCTGTTTGGTAACTGGTTTGTTGCTGATTAACACACATGCTAAGTAGCTCACATCAACTGACCCTTTGCACGTGACGTCACGCCACTCATGTGACCGCCCCCTTCGCCATGATGGACGGCAAAAAGACCATTTACACCCGTTGAAACTCCAGTGAAGGTAGTCAAAACAAGCCAGTTTGTAGCCTTGTATCGCTTTTATTTAGTTGATTTGACAGTAAAATGGTTTTAGCTTGCTGCGTGGTCGGCTGCACTAAGAGACGAGGACGTAAACTCAACTCGTTTTTTACTTTTAATAACTTTGATGGAGACTGAGGACGGAGATGATGCAGCGATCAATCAAGCGGACTAGAAGGCCTCAGATTTGCAGCAAACATGTTTTTACCGGGTAAGATTAACGTTTTTTCACGAGGAAGACAGGGACAGGGATAAACGTGATGTGTTTATACTAGTTATTGATAATCCTGATGGATGGGTATTTCACCACGGAGGCTGCGCTCCGTCCACTGTAGTGTAAAGCGAGACAATTATTAACAATATTAAAGCTCAGATGTATGATTACGTGTGTTAAAATTACGTTATTTATTTATATGAGCGTCGGCGTTCAGAGATCTTCTCATTCCGGTGTGAGAGCAGCAGCTGAACCCGGTAACACCACCAGCAACCGAAGCTGGTAGGGATCCGGACTCAGCTTTGGTGTAAAATGCTGTTTACAACATAAAGTTATAAATCCAAAGGGGTGAATTTAGGCAAAGTCAGCAACATGTTTACATCGGTGAACAGCTGCAGAGAGAACGTAAGCTAACGTTGGTAAGCTAGTTAACATACTGCTCTCTATGAGCCCCCGCTAGATGCGCTACTTCTGATAACTGAACTGGGCAAGAACTAGTGGAAGGAATGCTGGAGGAGTTTTGTTTTTGTTTTGATCACAAAAACAATTTCAGGCTCTACTTTTCCCTTTGTTTAATAATTGTGTCGCTCACTGTTTACATGCTTTAGCCGTCCACCATGGTGGACCCACGTGATTAGGTGACGTCGGTGCAAAGGGTCAATATGTGGCTTTTAAAGATGTAATTCAAGGGGAACATATTCTTGCCTTTAAGTGGTTAATTAATACAGAACTACTAGTAATTAGGTATGAACCAAGTCTGACTTTAGAATGGGGAACATATTCTTGCTTACAAGTGGTTAGATTGTTGTTTAGGCTCTATTAACATGGAGTTTGGTGTTTATTTGCATACTACCAGAACATAATATTTTTGGTTATTAATGCAGAATAATTATTCCCCTTCAATTACTTTGTTACAAGCCTCACATTGATGATATTGAATCAGCAACAAACCATTATGATTGGCTTATTTTGATAAAACTCTTAATTTATGGCCTGCTAATATTAGAATTACAGCGTTGGTAATAATCATCTAATAATAGCTTAATAATGACCAATTCAGACTTAGTAGTCCACTAATATTTATATAAATTGGCAGCTAATTAATGGTTACTTTGTGTCCCCTAAACCAAAGTGTTACCAAAGCAAGTTACGTTCAAGCTAACAGGAAGCTTGTGACAGCGAGGAGACGGCGCCCACACCCTTTATCCCACCATCATGTGACCACTTTTATGTGGCCAAAGGCTCCCGGGTGCTGCCTCGGCTTTGCAGCAAAGCAACGCCGGAGATTTATGGAGAGACCGGAGTTGCGGGAAAGTTTAGTTAATCCTTCCTCGGCTGTTTGCTAGTTAGGAGGAACAACCTCTGGCTTCTTCTCTTTATCTAACCCGGGATGGAAACGCGGAAGGTGTGTTGCTGTTGTGCTTTTAGTTTTACACAACTCTTCTTTAATCTGTCTGACGAGTAAATCTCACACTCAGTGGCTGAAACTAATAAAAAAAAAGCTTCCGCCGTTGCGGGTTTGTTTCTTTCGCTGGTCCGTCCCGTAAAGTGTCCGGGTGGCACAAGTAACTTTTATGTTCCTACCACGCCCGACGGCTGTTTTAGCATTTATTTATAATCGGTTATGAACATTTATGAATAGATGTTTGAGTTGGCACGTGTCTCACCCCTACTGATTATTATCTTTACTGTCATTTGTTTTGTTTACAGAATGTTTAGGGGAACAAACTGTGGTTAAAAGTCTGTATGTTTGTCTCTTCAGGTCGTGATATTGTGTCTCAGGACAACGGTATCCGCCCATCGTCCATGGAGCAAATGGCCAAACTCAAACCTGCCTTCGTTAAACCTCACGGGACCGTCACTGCCGCCAACTCGTCCTTCCTGGTAAAACTCGCCTGGACTCTCGGGGTCTTTCTGCTCCGGTGTGATGGAAACTCATCAGTTAGAACTTTATTCCACCATGATCTTCTCCGCTAGAAGTCTAGATGGAGCTTTTTATGTCTCTGCTTGTCTTTCAGCTTCTTCTCTTCCGTCACGTTTGTCTGATTTTTCCTCGACTGTAAATAAATGTACGTTTATTTCATCAGACTGACGGTGCCTCAGCTGTGCTCATCATGTCTGAGGAGAAGGCTTTGGCCATGGGTTTTAAGCCCAAAGCGTACCTCAGGTACGTATTTAGTTCTTATTTTATTATGTTTTGTGCTTTGATGCTAATCTGTATATTTTTGTTCTGGCAGAGACTTTGTGTATGTGTCTCAGGACCCCAAAGATCAGCTGCTTTTGGGGTGAGCTTGTCATCTTCATTGGAGAAAATTTATAATTTACATTTTTCAGCCTTCTGAACATCTTTTTGACCCTTTCAGGCCGACGTACGCTACACCTAAAGTCCTGGAACGAGCCGGCTTGTCCATGGCTGATATTGATGTGTTTGAGTTTCATGAGGCGTTCGCAGTAAGTCCTCTCCGTAGACGTATAGAAAAAAACTAAACGTTAGCTTAATTGTTTGTCAATTTAAACATTAGGAGAGATTCATCTTTAGCTCGTTACTATGGTAACCGTGCGTATGCTTGTTTTTCAGGGTCAGATTATGGCAAACCTGAAAGCCATGGACTCAGATTGGTTTGCTCAGACGTACATGGGCAGGAAATCGAAGGTAACATAAGATCTTCGGAGCACATCGGGGTTTCTAATGCAAAATAATTGGAGAAGTGTTTGTTTATAGTTTAATTGTGTAATTAAAATTAAAATTCTGCACAAGTTTTCATATAATTTAAATGTCAAACGTGCAAAAAGGTTCTAGAAAGTGTTTTCCACCCAAAAATGTTGGAGTTCCGTTATTATCTTTGTTTAACATTAATTATGGTTATTAGTGTAAATGTTTGTTTATTTGCAAGCAAACAGAATAACAACAATATATAGTTAATAGAAAAAAATACTGCAGGAGAGGTAAAGAAAACCACAAGTTCTTATAAAGCCACCTCCTCTGTGACATCAACTATTTCAGCAGCAGGGGTTTAATATTGAAATTTACATCATTTTTCTTTGTTGTTTAAATGAATGAAGTCCAGTTATGAACTGAGTTTATTCTAAAGGCAAGCCCTTTATGTTTAGGTGTGTTTTCCTTATTAACTCATTCACTGCCATTGACGACTAAAGTCGTCATTTGCATGTTTTTACTGTGTGGGCGTCGGACGAGCCCCCGCACCGTGAGAACAAACATCTCAGCTCTAAAGCAGATCTTCATCTGCATACGTCACATGATCAGGAAGCAGAAAATCCATGTGCTAGGAGATCGCTTTGGGCCGCTGCTGTAAAAAAAGTGAGGCGCGAACCGGAAAAGTTTCTGCCGATCACAATTCAACAACGTATTATGAAAGAACGGATAACGCTCGAAACACGCGGATTCTTCCTGATGTAAGAGGCGAGTCTCTGCTTTGTTTTGGTTGTTTTGGCGTCGACATCATCCTAGTGCGCAAAGTTCTGTGACTCTTAAAAAAACATTGAGAAACGCTGGCAGGGAAGGGGTTTACCGATCAGGAAACGGCTGGCAGCGAATGAGTTAACGTTCCGCACAGATGCAAATAAAAATGTCTTGTTGAATAAGTTTGAATATCGGGTGAAAAAAGGCAAATCACTAGTTAATTATACATAGATATACGATAAATGTTCACGTTAAATATTGTCAGACAGTCTATAATTAAAATGTTCACCCTGGCCTAAAGCTGCCTTTCTGCTCAGGTCGGGGCTCCTGCCATGGAGAAGTTCAACACTTGGGGGGGCTCCTTGTCTCTGGGCCACCCGTTTGGTGCCACGGGCTGCAGGCTGGCAACTACTGTAGCTCATCGGCTGAAGAAGGAGGGAGGCCAGTACGGACTGGTGGCAGCGTGTGCTGCTGGAGGACAGGTAACCAGAGGCCGAGCCGTTCTCAACCTGAACGTTACCGAGATGTATTTAAATGTTCTGTCTCTTCCAGGGTCACGCCATGGTGATTGAGGCCTACCCCCAGTAATGCACGCTCCTTCGTTTAGATCCTGATCTTCATCGTGACTGCTGTTCATGTCCCTGCTAACATCTGAACGATGGTGTACATAAAAGCTGCCTTAATCCAACAGAAGAGTGGATGTGTTTGAAGGTGTGAACGAGACTCGGCTCGGAGGCTGCAGAGGAAGGTTTTCTGGATTTGTCAGCAGAGTCTCAGAGTCTAATGTAACATAGCAAAGTTTAAAGAGCTCAGCGGAGCCGTGGTGATCTAATGTTAATAAACACTGTAAGATTTTTTTCATAATTAAATGGTGTGACGATAACCACAGTAAAGCCTGGGTCTGTTGCTTTTCTAGTGCTACCTAAATGGTCTAGAGGTATCAATATAATGTTTGTGATGCATTTTGTTGCAGTCGAAGCAGAAGTATTTAACCTGCGTCAGAGGGCCTGGTCCCCCAAAGTAACCCCCACAGGGCCCCCTTATCAACCGCCATTTTAAGACAACTCCTCCCAGACTAGCAGTTAGCTCATCATTCCAGTGGATCGTAAACTGAATTTCTCCAAACGGAGGCCACTCAGGAAGCTTCTACGACAGTTTCTGTTCTAACTTTTAAACAACACAGTTAAAAATAGCTTTTATGCGTTTTCTGCAAACGAGGATACACCTCCAGTATCATCAGAATGACTTTTTATGCTGTTTTTAGTCACATTTGGACTTTTTTGTTCAAAGAATCAGAACTCTTTGCTGATAGAGGGCCTTGACACATGGACAACTTCAAGCAATCGGCCTATGTTTTATTCAGCAGAGATGGAAACCATTGTGAGGAAAAGATCAATGTATAGAGGGCTTTGTGCAGTGGATGAAAACAGAATTTAGGCAGAAGGGGTGTGGAGTCTGTTAAAAGTCTAAACAGCCTTCCAAATTTGCATTGCCAATTTTTTTTCTACTTGCATATTTTTTATGGAGTCTCCATACCCAGATGTGTCAGCAGTAAACCTGCCCTGCATTCCTTTGCCTTAATTGATTGTGAAAAAATGCTGCCTGCTTCTGATGTTAATGAGGAGGTAAAGAGGTGTGCTGAGGCTTCCTGGTGATTTAAAACAACATGAATATGGAAAATTGGGAGCGTGACTGGCAGATGACTTAAAAGTTCAGCGTGCACTGGTGTCGTCTATACGGTGGGAAAAAAAAAACTTTTACACCCGCTAAAAGCTTTGGCTAATTGACAGCGGATTGGTAAATTTATATCAACACATTGCCTCCTCTCTGCTTTGGTGTGTGCGATCCCCTCAGCGCTCACCGGGGATTCTCTGCTCAGCACACACACACCTCTCAGGTTGGGGGGCTTGTTAACATAACTTCAGTCAGACACTTCCGTTTAAAATGTATTTAAAGATTTAATTCTTCCAGTTTAAGGAATCCTTGACTCGGAGCGGGGAGGAGTTGATTAATGCAGCCGAGCCTGTCACGCGGGCTGGAGGCAGAGGGAATAAAACCAATGTTTTACTGCCAAGGCAAAACGGAGCTCAAATGTAAATAGCAGGGAGATAGACAGAGAGGGGTTTTGTGTTTATAAAGCTTCAAAAAGCTCCTCAACCCTGCGAGACACCAGAGACACGCAGACACACACCGACATAGCGAGCCGCCTCGCTGCCTCAGCGGGGCTTTGATCAGACGGAACCTTTTATGGGGAATGACTAGCGAATGCACCCGCTGCTGTCACTACAAATCTGCCTCACGGAGCGCGCGGGGAAGCGGGGAGGGGAGGAAGGAAGGTGCGTGGAGGATGTTCGGCGTGTTGGCACGGTGAAGGGAGCCGGGGAGAGACTGGGAGTACAGCGGCGTCTTTCATCTCGTCGTAGCCGGCTCACGCAGGGCGGCACCTGCTGAAAGCTGCACTTAACTTCCTCCACCTGCTAGGTGCGCTGTGTGTGTGTGTGTGTGTGTGTGTGTGTGTGTTGTTAGACAAGATGTTTTACAGTGCTGCACCATAACAAGGCTGCTACTGTACATGCATCTGTGATAAAAACACGATGAAAGAGTTAGTTTATTTACTGATTAGATTTTTATCCCTATTTTTTTTCTCGTTGGCACTAAAATGTTGCCAATTTCACAAATGTTTTAGAAATTGTTGTTTTTTGGTTTTTGTGTGTAGCTGATGCAGCAAAAAGGTCCCAATAAAATTATAATTAACGAAAAAATCACAAAAAAATACATTTTCAAGTTAAAATAAAAACACAAACTTCAATTACAAAAATAAAATCGGGGTAGTTTTAAATAAACATTAGCTAATTACTCATTTTTCAAACTGACAATTCCTATTTAATTAGATATTTTTTTCCTGTTGATGTTTCTTTTTGTTTTTCTGTTTAAAATTAAGATTTGATCATATTTATCAAAATATGACAAAATAAAACCTAATGAATGAATATGCTCCAAATTCATCTGGAAGACGTGTAAAATTGTGCTTTAACATGTTAATGCAACACATAAGAACATGATATATTTTCTATTTTTGTTTCAAATTCACACAGAAGACAGATTTTGCCCCATACAGCACACCATATGACGATGGTGCCTATCAGGTGGGGTACACCCTGGACAGAGAGCCAGTCGATCGCAGGGAAATACAGAGTCACACAGGACAAACACACACACACACACACACACACACACACACACACACACACACACACACACACACACACAAACACACACACACACACACACACACACACACACACACTCACACCTAAGGACAATTTGGACAGACCAATCCCAATCAACCTAACAGTCATGTTTTTGGACTGTGGGAAGAAGCCGGAGTACCCGGTGTTGCAAAACAACATTGTTTGTTTTGTGTCAGACTTGTAAGGATGAACGTATTGCCACACTGGTGAAGCACTCTGACCTCTCCTTGCTGCAGCATCTTGTTTAAGTCACATTGCTGTCTGTTTAGGTTTAAGAAGCGAGGGCTTGGTGATGGAGCGTGCTTGGATCTGTGTTTTTGATTGGTTGGATGTAAGTAATGGCTCTAGTTTGAAGCTACCCAATAGGGTTTAATGGAAAAATGAAACTTTTATTGATCATTATATATCGTTATTGAATTATTACTATTGAGAATAAAAGCAAAAGGTGGTGAAAGATGTCTACATTATTTTCATAATAAAAATTGTTAAGGTGAAGTTTTGAAATCTTATTGCTAAAAAAAGCTTATTGCTAAAAAAAGCTAACTGTTTTAGGACTTCTTAAACTCACACATATGTTAGTGCATCTAATGTTTAAAAAGTGTTTCATTAAAGAGACAATGTGTAGTTTTCACCGTTAATCTCTGAAAATCGAAATGTTGAAAATGAATTAAATGATCCCACGGTTTAAAAAATATTGGCGGCTTTGTATCATATATCCATAAAAATTGGGTTTAAAATACATAGAAGCGGGTCTAAGTCTCTGGAAGACGCCAAATTAGATGCAATGTTTCCTTCTACAGGAGCCCGTGAGGATAAAAAGCAATTCCCAATTTGTAACAAGCAGGTACAAAACTTTTGCCATTTATAAATGTTGTTTTACACATTGACCTTTTCGCTTGTTGCCAGTTTCGGCAAGGTGGAGAAACGAGGTCCTGGGCGGGATTCGACCCCCACACTCCCGGGTATGTGTCACGTGCTAACCAGTCAGCCTGGGATATCCCTGTGGCCAAGTAGCCAGGGCGCATGATCAATCGGGATACAGTGACAGGAGGCTGGAGGTTAACTATCAGACGAAGTACTTGTTCAAAAATTGCACCACCAGAGATTTTTGACCCTTATGGCCATCCATTGGTAAGGTCTTACTCAAACACAAAAATACTGCTTGCAGTGATTTAGGTATGCACTGCCCTTTATCACCTCGGAAAATACACTCAGTCACTTTAAAGTAACACTGAGCAGTTTCCTGCTCACTGACCCTACTGGTTGAAAGTGTAACTGTCGCAAACAATCCTACTGCGGCCTGCAGAAGCTAGCGCTAACAACAAGCTAACACAAACATCCAGTAGCTGGAGTAAATAACGTCCAGTAGCAACAAAGCCAGGTCCCCATCAGTCTGTGATTTTGTAGCCTTCTGTAGCTCCCTCAGATTAGCGTAGGCAGCACCGATGTTCACCCTGGTTTTAGCTCTTTGCTTCACGTCCAAAGACATTACTCTCTTACGTTTACTTCCAGGCTCCGCCATGATACCGACAGAAAAGTAAACTTCTTTTTCTTCTTATTTTGCTTTTTATTGATGATAAGCAAACTGAAAAAGCTAATAGTTAGCATTACAGCTAACAGCTCCACAAAACTATCAGTGGTATCTGGCCAGCAGAGGGCAGCAGAGTGGTGTCATAGATGAAACAGGTCAAGTTTCTAACTCTACAACCACTGAGATCAATGTTAAGGCTCTAGCTTAAAATTAAAAAAAACTATTTATTGTTACTTTAATATTGTTTTCCTGTAAATGTATTTCAAAACTATTTATGAGCTTAAAATGTCTTGGAGCGTTTGCGACTTTTATTGTGAAGGAATTTCCTTGATGACCTCAGTGGCTGCAGCTGCAGAAGTAGTTAAATGACCGCACCTCATATTAAGTAAAATGATGTGTTTTTATAGTTTAATATGTCAAAATGTGCAGAAACTGCAGACATAGATGAGTTCAGGAGCACAGTGGGGTTAATTTCCTCACACTCCCTCTGGAAAAGTCTTCTTTCAACTTTTTCTGACAATAATTAGATATTTTTTTCTAGACATTTCTACTTTACTCAGGAAAAATACGTAACTTGTTCTTGTCACCTTTTTGTTTGTTCACCTTCTCGGTTGTGCCTAATATGCCATCACTACTGAAAGTACCCATGCATGTGTTTTGTTTAAAATGTAAGATGGGAAGAAACGACAAAAACACCTTCTGATACTAATCCTAAAAAGTACACCTGTGCATTTATTTATTAACTCACATGAACTTCTATGTTTAATGTATGAGTCAGTAATCCAATGTTCGTGTATTATTTGACATTTGTTACCAGTAGATTACGAATTCTGTAATCGAGGTGGTCCACCTTTTCACAAATTTACAGCACAACATGCTAAATTAATGTCAAACACAACTTTAAAGGAACCAGAATCAGCCTGAAATGAGTCCAGCCTGATGATATCAGCTGTATTTTTACAACATACATCACTATCCTATGACCCGATCGGCATAAATAGATCCCGAGTTCTAAATAGAAGGAAGCAAGCCTGCAAATCTGAGTTTTTTTTCAGGATTTTAAGAAACTAAATAATTTGCACTCGTTTGTATAAGTGTTGGATTAAGTAAA